TTTTTCGATAAGTTTTTTTTTTTATTTACTTTGGGCTGTGACCGCGACGCGTATAATTTACACGTTTTGCTCATTTGCGATTCTAGGCTCGAAAGCTGCGACCGAAACAGAAACAAAACAAATGAATTTAAATCCGCACATATTCAGTACCAGGTACAGTGAGGTCTCAATTACTAAGGCCGAGAAGTCTACAATTTCATTCACTTTTCGCTTAATATAAACGTACTGATTAACCATCCTTAAAATTTATGTGGAACTATTAAAAACAAAGTTGCAGCGAAGAAATGTAAAACATTTTGTGGATAATAAGTTGGATTAAATTTGTGTAATTTTATACCACGGGAAACCGTACATATAATATAAGATCCTATCCTACATACCTATACTTTTACATGATACTTTCTTTGTTGATATGGAATACAAAAAAATTTAGGTATTATAAGATTTAAAGTTTTAACTCCTAATTAAACATGCAGTTTTAATTAATTTTCTTTTTTGGACATTGATATAGATAAAAACAAAGATGTATTGTTAAAATAACTATTGATTATAGTTTCATAAAAAAGTAAAGGAATTTTAGACCTTTTAGGAATAAGTAAAATATAAAATAAGTTTAACAAGCATAGAAACCTTTTCTTAAGAAACATATCTTTTTAATAAAGAAAATACTGCTTGCAGAGTGCCCACTGTACTCCATACTTCGGTACTGAAAAAGGGGATAGCTACTGCTTCGGCGCGACGTCGGCTTTATCTGCTCTTCCTCTTCTTCAGTCTGAGTGAAATTCCGACAAGTGGCATAATTGCGCCCTGCGGCGGCTACCGTGCTAAGAGGGCATGAGGAAAAAGGGGAGGAAAAGGGGGAAAGATCCAAGGGGAAAGGGGGGGGGAAAAAGACTAAAAGGGGAAGCGAAGCCAGTCCAAGTGGCCATCGATATGCGGGAAAAAATCGCAAATCATAACCACGGCAACAACAAACAATAAATAAGTGCAGCAGCAACTTGCAACCCGGCAACCCGGCAATCCGGCAAACGTGCAACGTGCAACTTGCAATGTGCAATGTGCTTCAACTTGCATGCCACGTAAGGCAATTCCAATGCCAAAGAGCAACAAGTGTGCGTGTCCCAAGTCGTTTTGACTTTGCTCCGAGTGCAAAGTTGAGCACACATAAAAAATAAGAGGATGACTCCACTCCACTCCACTCTCCATTGAGGGGAGGGAAAAGGGAAGGGGGAGGGGAAGGGGAGGGGGCAGAGGGCAGGGGTGAAGTGAATCGGCTGCGCAGTCGCCTTTAAAAGTCATTGGCGACTTTCTGCACGCCATCGGCATATAAAGCATGCAGAGGTCCCAAAAGAACAATTTAGTTCACAACACCAATGCTCTTTCAAAAAGGATATGGTTTCAATAGAACCAATTAATATAAACTATCATAATCAAAGAAAAAAATTTGTTTTAAAAAATTATATAAACCATTTACATCTAATCTCTTTGAACTAATAAAGAAGAATAAACAGAAACACATGTACATGTATATTACTCATACGCCGCGTGGGCCAACATATGAAATTATTATTATTTTACTTTCATATTTGTTATGCTATAAAATAATGTAACATATTACCATGTTATGCTTTTTAAATCCCACTTGAAACATTACTTGAATTGTTTTATTTCCTTATACAGAATAATCTACTTTCAAAGTGTATTTCCAGATCGCATTTAAGGCATTGCTGGCTTCTTGTTACCCCGACTTCAAGTTGGCCAGGTCCCTCTGATTTCTGCCTGACTGCGACTCATTCTCGTTCGCCATTCTCGGCCTCAGACAGACAGCAAGTCAACATTCCATGGCCACTCGCAGGGCATAAGTTCGCGTCAAAGGTTTCGGAGTCAAGTCAAGCAAAAACAAAGAAAACAAAACCAAAACCAAAACCAAAAGCAAAGCGAGTGAAAAGCGCAAAACGCAAACAAGAACGAAGGCAGCGGATCGCCGGCAAAGATGGAGATGCATTATAACCTTTGCCAGCAGCTCATATTGATATTATGTATGTACAGTGGAGACTCAAGAAGGGAAGGATAATGCTTTTTATTTTAAGATATAGTAAAAAAATTGCTCTTAAAATGGTAAGACATACAAGCTTATAAAATCTAAAATAAGGAACTTTACTAAGCTTCTTGTTATTTTTTACTCAGCAATATTATACTAAAATCTTTTAAATATTTTCCAATATTAGTATAATATTTATATATTTTGAGTAAACTGAAACATATTTGTTGATCAAAACGATAAAACCATTTTTTTTATTGTTTAAAAATGTTCTTTAGAAATGTAAATGTAATTTAAAAGACATGTTCATGACATATAAAATTGAAATCTTCCAGGTAAATTCTGCTTTAAAGATCATTTATTCGAGCTACCACTTTAGCTTTCGGCCGACTTGAGTATTAGCCTGGCCGGAACGGAGATGCGAACGGGTCGCTTCTGTATTGGATGGACGGTTGCCCTTTTCCTCTGCGAATTGCCGACGGTGGGACTTTCAGTGCCGACTCGTTTTGCATTTTAATTTTGCCTGGCGAGCGATCTTTTTCATCATTATCATCATCGGCGACGTCGTCTTCGCCGCTGTTCGGCATCAGTTGCCTGTTTATTTTTATTTCTGATTATTTTTATTTTAAAGCTGCTGCAGCTCGATACGTTTCTTGTTTTTTTTTTTGTTTTTTTTTTTTGTTTTATTTATCGCCACTTGTCGGCCATTTGGGCGTTCATTTGTCTCCGCTTTCGTCCCTTGCCGTTTGCCATTTTTGGAGGATCCGAGGAGCCGGTCAAAGTCAAGTCAAATCGAGGGACGCATTGAAATTGCGGCTGCCTTTTTTATACTGGGAGGGGAATTTACTTTTATTTAATGAAAATTTGCATGCTGAATGCTTAATTCGTCGCTTGCAAAAATATTCGATGAACTCGATGATTTTGGGAGCGGTTTTGGCCAGATTTTTTTTGCCTGGTCAAAAGGTTGACAGCTCAAAGGAAATACAGGTACAGTTGGCAGAAACGAATAAATACATTTTCAAAAATTTGAGTTTTGCTTAAAAACCCTTTGGGATAATGTGAATAAATTGCTAATTTTTTTTACCCGATTTAGTTAGATTTTTCCAGTTTAATAAAACAAAAAATATAATGCTAATTTGTCTTAATAATTATTAAGACAGGCATGCTTTAGTATAACAGTCGATGATTAGCAAGATTATGATAAAATTGGCGTTGAAATCAAATAATAAAGAGAACAAAGCCTTCAAGAAACACGTGCGGCGGTCGAGTTCCTATAGTTATATGTATTTTAAAGACAATAAATATATGAATTTCTTTGAGAAATCAGTAATTAAAACGTGTGCAAGCTTATAATCGTGTTTGCAAACCAATTCTGACGTCAGATAAAATCCCCAATTCTCTCCCTCGTTTGGTGACTGTTCGATCTTTATTATTTTTTCGCAACCTCAGTTCTGCCTTTTACTTTTTAATGATTGTGTGCATATTGTTGTTTCGGCATTATAACTTTTTGTGTGTTTCACAATGTGCATGTCGAACAGAAATTCTCGTTTTTGCATGCTGGCTGCGAGTGACCACAGCAAAAGCAAAAGTCAAAGGTGAGACAAGATACCGAGCCATGACATCATGGCTCAAAAACTCTTGACTCCCGAGCAAGTGAAACGTCGAAAGATCTGAGCGTTAAGCCAATTCGACCAGCAGTGGTCAATCTAATTAGTTTATCACGGAGTAGCAGAAAAATGTCACACGACCATAAATAATGTCAAAATAAATAAAACACACGACCAAAGCTAAGGCAAAGGTCTGGGTGAGACAAATTTACGGCAGCGGCAGAGAAAAAAAACTGGCAGTAAAAAGAAAAAATCAAAAAACAAAAATCAAACCCAAGGAGGGGCGAAACCGAAAACGGTTGATCATAAACTGCAGCAGCCGAAACAGTAGGCCACAACTCTACTGGCCAAAGGCGTTGACAGCACCAACAACCAACAACCAACTACCAACAGCCAACAACCAAAACCAAAGGCCACAATGGCCATCGGCGTTTCAGCACAAAAAAGCGCACCAGTAAGAAATATAAGCCCGAAAAAATAAAGCGCACAATAACAAATAAAATAAATGAAAACAAATAGAAATGCTGCAGGGAAGTCGTGGAGTCTGGTTAACTTCTCAGATACCCTGTGAGTCATGGATTTAGGGTAAATCTTAGGAAAAAAGTTAGCAGACACAAATCCGGTTAGTTCTACAATTATGCATAATTAAAATTTTGCATAAGAGTTGAGAGCAGTTTTTGTCTTGTGAATCATAGTTGCCATTTGAACTTTTAGGTTGTTAAAAAACTAATCTACGAATCACTTAGGAGGTTGTATTTTAAAAAGATTGTTGAAAAAGCTAAATTATTTTCTTACTTAATCTTAGAGTTTTCTTCACGTAAAAGATAGAATGAGTGGGTAAATATCAAATGAGTTGTACTACTGCACATTGGGTAATTGTTAGAATATAAGAAAATTTTGAATTTGATCTCCAAAATATATAACACATATTATTTGGGATTTGAATTGAATTAAACAAAATGTAATATATATTTTATGGCAGGATAGTTTGGTTATTTAAATGGATGATTTTTTTTCTGATTTATTATCATTAAATATAAAGAACCCCCTTTATTATACAATCCACAATTTCATTTAAGTTTTTTATTGAGATCAGCGAATGATAAACTCCAACCGAATAGCTAACTCCATTTCTATAGGGTATTAAAGACCGGCACCGTGATAATAGCGTAAAGCGATAGCTGAACTTTCAACAACTTTCCCCCCTCCGCGAGCCACAATTGTTGTCATAATACTGCGAAGCACTCCATTTTGGAGTTGGGGAGTTGAGCGACTATAATCGAGGGGAAGTGGGAGAAGGGGAAGGGGAAAGAGGGGGGGGTTGATTCCGTGGAGCGGAGTGAGTGACTTACCGGAATAACACCAGGCTGGCCATACTACTGTTGTCTCCGTATCAATTTCCTTCATTATGGGGGCTCAACATATTGTCAAACCTCCGCCGTCGTCAACCGATTCGATTTGCCCTCTCTGTCTGGCGATCCGTGGCTATCTCTCTTCCACTTGTGGCTGCTGCAAGTGAAATAGTGAAGGCAGGAAATAAATAGTGGGTAAAATACAAAAAAAAAAAAGTAGAAATAAATAGAGAGAGAGATATGCGGTAAAGACAAATCATGGGGCTTATAAAGTTATTTTAACACTTTACGCTCGACCACTTCTTCAATTAAGTTGCCAGGTTTTGTTAGCCGTTTCAGTTGTTTTGACCATTTATGCTGCTAATTTATCTCGGTTCGTATTGTCCAAGCTTTGGTAATCATTACGGCTTCATGTACTTGTCGTAGTTTGTATCTTTGTGGGCCTGCTTGTCTTTGGGTGTTTGCTTAATTAATTTGCTGGTTGTCAAATGTCTGTCGTTGTTGCTGTTTTATTGCCGGGTTCGCCATTCTTTTGTTTTGTTTTTGTGTGATGTGGGTAATTAAATGATGTTAAATGCTGGCACAATGAATTTGTCGATTGTCGCATATTGGCTTGTGTGAAATTGTCACACCAGAGATAAAATGGTTCGAACAAAAGAAAGTCCCAAAAGTATAAAAAGATACCTTTATTATTTATTTTTAAGTCCCGCCAATCCTTTGTTATAAATTATTCAATAAATTCCTTTAACTAATAAATCGCCTTAAGCTTTTATAATACTCCATTGATATGATATAATTACAATTTGAGCTGATCAATTAATTAAAAAATAGGAAACCGACTGATAACTTTTGCAAGTAAGATAAAATCAATGAAAACCAGTAACAACTTTATCAGCTTTTAAAATATAAAGATTCGTGTATCTATAAAAAAAGATTAAAAAGTAACAAGTTTAAAAGACTGGTGTTCGACACCTATCAAAAATGACAACTAAACTTGTTTGGAACCCGGTTAAAACTGTATCGGAACTTTAACCTTTTCTGTTTTAACCAAACAATGGAAAAGTTTAAGGTCGTTCGGTGGGCTATCAAATATTTAAACAGCTTTTTGCATGTATATTATGCATTTGTTTCTCGATCGGTTGTTTTAGTATCTATTTTGTTGATTGTGTTTTTTTTTTTTTGTGAGTGTGTTATATATTTTTCTTAAACTCAAATTCAAATTCGAATTTACCTCTTAGATTGTTTAGACGTTAATTGCTTGATGTTTTTACTGCCTGACTAACTTTGTGACTGACAGACTGACTACTTGTGTTCTTGTCAATTTGTCATTCGTATTAGAAAATGTAGAAGTCTTTATTGTGACATTTACATAGATGAAATTGTATTGTTTAATTAATTGTGTTTAGGTGTTTACTTTTCAGGTGTATATGATAGATTTTACTAACTTGTTGGGAGGTGTGGTGGTTTTTATTTTTATTTGAATTATTACCCTATATTTGGCATGTAATTTATTTCCGTTTGCCAAGTTTCAACTTTATCGCTTTGCTTTTAATTTTCTCCACAATTAACATTTGTGTGTTGTAGCTTTGAACTTTTAAAGCATTGTTTATTTAATTTCGCATGCGACTTTTGACTTTTAAACTTGATTATTTGCGTTTCACTTTTTTGTCGCTCGATTTGCATAAGATTCGGAATTTTTTTTCCTTCGCGGCGTTATCACTTATCTCGCCTGCACTCTCCCCCTATTTCTGTCTCACTCTCTTTTCTGGTGCTGTCTCATTCATTAATTGGTGGTCACGTGCTCAGCTTCCCAAACAGATTTGTATCTGTGTTGTCAAAGTGTCGTTAGACACGTGAGTTTGTTGTAAATAAAGCGAATAACCACAAAAAATGTCAGAGTGATTTTTTATCTCTCTGCGGACTATTTTTAGAGGGGATTAGTTGCGCCGTTTTTTGTGACTTTTCCTGCCGTTTTTCCTGGCAAAACTGTTACCGTTACGGTTATATGATTTTCTTCCTCCGTCAGCACTTTTTTCGAATTTTTTAATCTTTCATTTTTACACAACGCCCCCACACACTCACACTTTTTTCCCCGGCGCACGTTTTCTCTACGCGTATATTTTTTTTATCAATCCTCTTGGTTTGTATTTTTCCCTATTTACGCGCGCTTTGGGGCCCGGGATCGTTGATCGTCGATCCGTCGATCGTTGAATTCTCGATCACTGATAAAGCCGCGGCTTTTGTTATTTATTTTCGCATTCGCACGAGTTGCCCGCCGCACGAACGAAATCGTACTGAACTCACTGCTTTGAGAGAGCACGAGAGCGGCCCCAACAAATAAGAAAACAACACGGGGAAGAAAGCCAGTCCCGACACACCATAGTTTGAATGCCCTCCCAGCTACAGACGAACAATTTTAAAATATGTACAGGAATGGTGAGCTATATCATATGATGATTTAAGTAAGTTATATTATATTTTTAAAATCAAGAGATAATAGATTGATAAATATCAAAGTTATATCTTATTACCTTACAATGATCCCACCACTTTGTTACAAGCATCTGATCAAAACTAAAATGCTCTATATAAGGGTACCTAAAGAAGAGGAGAAACAACAACAAAACGGCAGATACTCCAAGCCCCAAACGGGCACACACGTGCAGGTCAAAGAGAAAGAGAGAGAGAGAGAGCTGGGGAGTATCAAAGAGCCGGAAAAACAGCTGTGTAGCAAAACAAACGAAACGAAGAGATCCAAACCTAAGAGAGCATTGGAGGCGCTTTATCAGTACAGTAAGTGCTGTGCGCATGCGACAGGTGCATTAGCTTGGTTAAAGTTTTTCCTAAAACAATGTAATAGTTTATACGGCGAAATAGAATTTATCAGTAGGCTTGAGTCTAGTTGTCTAAAATTACATCATTCATTTGACTAAAAAATTACGAAATGACCGGGTTTTAGTCGGGACAGTCTTCCTAAATAAATGGATCAAGATCTTGTCAGTACAGAAATGACTAGTAACACAATTATATATTATGTTTCTCCAGTAATCTATGTGGGTACCACTGTATGTTGTGCTCTGCCCCACCACTGTGCCTCTCTGCTTCTATTTCCCTCTCCATGTCCGATCCCCAACCCCCCCGCATACACACACACACACACACATCGAAAAGGGTTCACTGAAGGTCAGCTGGTCAGAGTTCAAGTGGCAGTGGAAATGAGCTGGCACGACAACAGAGCGATAGAGAGAAAGAGCGCGAGCAGCAGAAACGCAACGGCGATAAAGTCATAGAAAGAACAACAACATCAGCGACTTTACAACTTCAGAAGACCTCAAAAAGGGTCGAAAAGGGGGGATGGGGGTTGCAGTGGATGGGGGTTTTCTGATGGATAACAAAGTGTAGGCGTGTTTTGTAACTGTATTTGTATACGGAGGCATATCTGTGTCGTCGCTGGCCATTTGATACTTTGGCCTCGTCACTCGTCAATCAACACACAAAAAAAACAACACAAAAAACAAAGGGGGTGGGGATGGGTGCAGTGGAGTGGGTGGCAGCGGGTGGAAGCGAGACGGGGCGAGAGTGGAACAGACATATTGCAGTTGTCTGGCGGTGTTGCATTGCACTTTCCTATTTGCCCAGTTGTTGTTCGATTGAACTTCGCAACAAAAACCAACAAACCGATCGAATAGGAAACATATGCATATTAATTGCCCATATCGCATTATTCTAATGAAAAAAAATCGCTGTTTCCTTTGTTTCCTTCGCCTCGAAAACTTTCGTTATCGAGAGACAAATTTCAATGTAAATCGAAATCGATTTGCCTGAAAAACTGAACGACCTGAACAACCTCAAGAGTCGCAGACGTCAAACGAAGGAAGCGATATCGCGGGCATTAATTCCAGATCTGAAACAGTGGACACCCTTTAAAAGCATAATGTTACAATGTTGTCAGAAACGCTATAAACTACAAAAATGCGAACGAGATCTATAAATCTTTAGATATGTTTAGTAAAATAATATTGAAATTATTTTATATGTATTTTGAACCATGAGGTAGTATTTCTTTGATCGTGATGCAGAAAAGTCTTTGTTAATGTTAATTTAATTAAACTGTAATAAGTAATTTAAAAAGAATATGCTTGGGGGAAGTTAAAGTTTCTTGCAAAATTTCAAAGTTAGCCAAGTTTGAGACATTTGACCGAGTTAATTATAGACTGCCCCTCCCCCCTTTCTGCCAACTTGTGGGCCAAATGGTATTACCCTGTGCCAGGGTATATCGAGCAGTATATATACATAAATATATATAGGTATAGCATGGACGCGTTCGTATATATAGCCAGGCTACAGATGCGAGATCCGCACACTTAACCCAAAACGAGACCAAAAAGGCGAACAGAGGCGACCAGAGGCGACCGGGCCATGACGGGATCTCGACGACGACCGACGATGCGACCTGAGTTGGCGGCGAAATATTTTTAGAACTCTGCGACCGACGGCGACGACATCGATGGACGGGGTGGGGGGCGTCAGCGGGGGGAGAGGGGGCGGTACGGGGGCAAAGGGGACATGCATATATTGTGGTACTTCGGTATCTGTATCTCTGGCAGCCCCAACTCAGTCTGTTTTTGTTTTTATTTTTTACTTATTTTTTTGCTCGTATATATTTTTTGCAGGGCGCTCGGCGAAAGAGCGAGAGGTCAGAAGGTCTGTGATCTTTTGCAAGTTCGCTTGAGCGCAAAAAAAAAAGAAATTCTCCGAACTGCCAAGAAGAACAAAAGGCAGCCTGGCCCGTTCAAGTATCTGTGAGATACATTTCTGCCGCTCATATATACACGAATATATATGCGATATAAGCATATCGTATATGTTGGCCAGGCAAAAAGTCAAATGACAGCAAACTTTCGGTTAGATAAATAGGTAAATACAATGAGATATTTATCTTTTTATCCGAAAGATCTACGCCAGCTACAAAGTTTGTTTATAAATTCCGCAAACCGAAGTAAAAATGAATTTTAATTGGATTAAATTGTTTTACTTGATGTCTAGTTTTCACGGAAATTGCTCAGTTCGCTGATAACTTACATGACTTGATATGTTTTCCAGTTTAGAGTCAAGTGTTAGACCGCTGTTGTTTTTGACACATTTCAGATTGCACTATTTGCTCAACTACTTGTCAACTACTATTTATTGCACTTGTAACGCAGCCATAAATAATTGATATACAGGTGGTTGAATCACACTCGGTGTTTAATGTCTGAGATTTAATTTGTATAAGTCATATAATCATTATGTACAAGTAGAAATAATTTAGTTCAAATAACCATTAAATTATAATTTTGAACTTTATTTATTTAACGTTTATCAGTGGTCCTTAAATCACATCCTTATAACAAGGAACTGCAATTCATCTCGAATCATAATGAATATTTTGCCAGGGTGTAGGCCATATATTCGCTGTGCCAAGATACATATACAATTCCGCAAATAACGAACGACATCCACGCAGTACATCAATGAATCAAATATGTGAAAAAGTGAGGAAAGAAACAACCGAGAAGGAGGAAAAATAGCAGCAGATCGAAGGTTTACCTGGGGCAAGGTGAGAGGGCGCAGTATCTTCCACAAAAACGAGAAGAAAACCAAAAAAAAAAAAAAACGAAATAAAATAAAAGCAAAAAATACAGTTGACAACTCGGAGGGAGACACCACAGAATGCCGCCAGGTTGGCTGATGAGGGGCAAGTCAAGGTGTGTTGAAGTATTGCCCGTGTCTCCGATCGCATTTGAGTGGGACGATCTCCAAAGTTTGCCAAATCGCAGGCCCCAGAAACACACAGAGAGGGAAAAAGCCGCACGACAAAGATGGATGCAGATGCCGCTTTTGTTGCCCCGAAAACAAAAAAAAAAAAAGAAAGAAGGAAGACAGTTCGACAGTTCATACCAATTGACTCGTTTGCCAACACGCGTCTCCAGGAAAACCAGCAACTGACTCTGACTCTGAAAAATTGCTAAAAGCTGCATTGCATACGGACAAAGACAAATATCGGGGATAACACGTTCTTAACCTGTCACCACCGATCCCTCTAATCTTTCTTTTCGGTTTATTTTATTTGCTTTTAAAGGAGTTGATCAAGGTATCACTAATAAGGCGAGAAATCAATTTCAATTTGTTTGACATGATTTTTAAAAGATTTTTATAAGGCTCCCTTTGAATTGTGATACGTGCCTTTTTCTATTTTTTCAGTTATTTGCAAATACCTACTCAAATTATGGGTTTATTGATGTCATTAAACTCTACACTATTTACCCAGACCCATTACCTTGAAAAACGATTATGGTTTAAATACATTCATTGCCAATAAACCTTTATCAATAAATGAAGACTGCGAAATATCTTCAGCGTAAACAAACTATATTTATTTTAAATTAAACAGCATAAGATCTGTAAGCTGATTTTATCTTTCATAAAAATAATTTATTAGGGAACTATATTTTCTGTTTGAAATTTTCTAAGAGTAGCTGGAAAATCTTTAAGTTCTCTCCGCTGATATTCTTTTTCTGATCAATTTGCTTTCCTCAACACAATTTGGTTATTATCTTCTTTAAAAATAATGTATGAAGGAACTATCTTTTCTTTTGATACTTTTCTAAGAGTAGCTGGAAAATCTCTGAGTTCTTTGCTTTGTTATTCATTTGTTCATTTTGCTTAAAGAACCTCAACAGAATTTGGTGCAAGATGCCTTTCGGCCACTGCTGGTCACAATGTCAAAAATGTCGTCGGTCGGGCAGTTTGTCTGTCATTCCGTCAGTCAGTCAGTCAGTCAGTCACCTCTGAGAAATATCGAAGACACACAAACGCAGACACTTGCAATTTTTGTTGCCGTTTTTGCTGTTGTTGTTGTTGTTTTTGTTGGCTTTATTTTTTTGCGCGCATCTAAAAATAAAGCAACACTGAAAATGCTAATGCCAAGCGACCGACCGATCGACACCGACATCGACCGATGCCCAGACCTCAAAAACGAACGCCCGTTTGCCCTCACACAGATAGGCACACACACGCATGGAGCCCCAAGCACACACACACAGAAATACTCGAGAGGCACACACATGCGAACATGTCCCCAAAATGACAGCGACATATTGCGCGCCTCGCGAGTTCACTTCACTCGAGAGTTTGAACCGATCTGAATATAGTCAGCATGGGCAGGGTGTGAGTGCGAGTGGGGGTATCTGGCATGTACGTGGATATAGTGGATCTAGTGGATATAGATACCCGTAGA